CCTGGTCCTTCCTGAAGCAGGAGAGACACCTTTCCCAATTAGACTACTGAAGACCCATGTATAGGTTTAGGCCTCAAAGTCTTTTTCTGCTCATTCCTATGGAGAAGCCTAGGAGTCTGTGCTTCCAGCTACAGCAGAAGAACAGACAGTGCTTATTTCATTGCCAAGGGTGTCCATGGGAAGCACCTTATATCAGAGGCTTGTGGATGGAAATGTGGGGGAAGGAATTATGATGACATTTATATAAACCTATGATGAAGGTTTAACCTGAGGAGGATTCATAAATCTTTCTCTTTACTGCTATACAATTATACTGTTTCGGACTATCTACTTGGCTTTCATGACCAAACTCCGGAGGTAATAAAACAATTTTTCAACACAAATTTCTGTGTTTGCTTTGTACCAACCTTGGGAGAAGCAGTGACACATAGCTTCACCATCACTTTTCTAGCATGGATGTACTGCCAGTGTTTTATTTACTGCAAGTTCATTACTTGTACATAAAGAGCGCATAAAGTATCAGCCTGGTTCTCAAGCACACCAAAGCCTTTTCTCAGTGTTCCTGTTTTGGGAAGTGCAGTATATCTTTTCTTGTGCGAGAGAAGTTAAAATGCTTGGAAGGTTCTTGCAGTCTTTCAGAGTGCAGAAATACTCAAGAGGGGATGGGGAAATACAGCCAACAATGTGAAGTACAAAACTATAAAATGCAGCGCTGGAGAGGGACACTACCACCAGATGAAGAAGCTGTAGCATTAATACAGAGAATTTTCAACTTCTGCCGTTATTTTCCATGACATTCCTATTTCAGCTTTCCCCGATTTTTGTTTTTCTAGATTTTTATGATCCTTCACATGCAACCCAGAACAATAAATCATATTTTCACATCAGCAGAGAGCAAAGCAGGTTGCATTCAATAAATCGTTAGATGTATCTGTCAGAAAAGTAAATGTACAGGTAGAAGTTTACTCATAAATATCATTAAAACACATGCTTGTTATTATTTTGAAGATAGTACAAAACAGTTAATAAAGAGAATCTTAAAAGTCAGATTATTCAATATCGTACGAATAACACATTATTAATCTCACCTCATTGAATCTTTTCATGCTGACAGATCTGTGTAAGGGAGTCTAAGGGAAAGAGAATATTTCCTTTTAAAGGGAAATAAAGGCTGGAACCTATACTAAGGATACTGAATGTTATGAGAATGATGATGAACTCGGGGGAAACATAAACTTCAGTAAAAACAAAGCTGTTTTATAGGAATAGAAGTGGACTTGTGTGCCCTGAAATCTATTTCTCCTTATATAAGAAGTGTAAGTAAATCTGATTTTATAAAGACAATAACCAGAACAAACAAACAAAATGTCTCACAGGATAAAAGCTGGTTTTAAATATTTTCCAGTAACCAATTTCAACTACAATTCCCTATACTGAGAAAAAAAAAAAGAAAAAAAGATGGAATAAACGCTTTTGTTCAGCTTTATAATTTATCAACATCAGATAAATGTAGAAGTCTTTGCTTCCTTCCACCTCCTTTTGAAAATATAAATGTTATTTAAACATAAACTAATTATTTCTTTTAGTGCAACAATGCACATAAGCTTTGGATGTAACAATGTGCACAAACTGAGAGTCCTAGAAAGTCCTAGAAAGCTTTGCAGCACATGCCAGAAGCCCTATAAAGGAAACATATGCAAGTTGCTATTGAAATAAGAAGTCATTATAATACAAAACTTATTTAAGTTCAGTATTTCACATTATGGATTAAAGTTCTTTTTCAGTTGGCTTTGAAGCCTTGATGTGGCACACCTCACACGATGGGGGATATCAACCCACTCTTTGACCAGGTTTTACAGATTTGGGGCCAGATAGCCGTGTAGACTCTGCTCCTTTTTTGGCATGTGCGTAACTGGTATTTATGTCTGACCCTGACACAGCCCTGAGTCAGCATGAGTCACCTTCTCTGCCTGCCTGCTGGCTTTAGCCCACCCTTCATCTGTCCTCACTGTCCTTCTCAATGTTACGAACATCGCTAAGCATCATTCCAGGCTCTGTCTAAAGCCCCTCAAAGGGTTCTGCCTTATTCCGCGCTGTTTGTGCTGGTGATGCTGCTCTGGCCCTGCAGCCACTGGCACAGTGAAGCTGGTGTCTGTGCAGCCACTCCCGCTTTGCACACAGGGTGGCCGCCTCTGAGGCAGTTCTTGGCAATGATCCTTGGCCCACACTTGCCCACCCGCAGTGCCTGGGCACCCCGTGGGACAGAGCTGGCTGGCCCAGGTCACGGCTGTGCTAGGAAACTTTTGCTACAAGGGAAGGCACATGCCGATGCTGGGGTCTGTGTGCTGGCCTTTCGTTTTTCTAGCATAAATCTTGTTTCTGTCCCTCCCTTTAAGCTTTCCTTGCCATTTACACTCCTCGCATGAGTGTAAATCAGGATTAGGATTGATTTTCTCAGAATTTTCTGTGCTGGTGGTCTGGATAAGTGCCAACTGGCCTGCAGAAATGTGCAGGAGAAAATGCCAACTTGGCTGACATCATATTTACGGTGATCTTGGTTGCAGCAAGTTGAGCATGAGTCAACAGTGTGCCATCTCAGGGAGGGGAGGGGCAGCGCTGAGCTCTGCTCTGTGTGACAGAGACAGGGCCTGAGGGAATGGCATGGAGCTGCATCAGGGGAGGGCAGCGGGGGGTTAGGGAAAGGGTCTGCTCCAGAAGGGGGTGGGCATGGAACTGGCTGCACAGGGCAGTGGGAATGTGTTTACAATAGGGTTTGAATTTTGGGTGGTCCTATGTGGAGCAAGGAGTTGGACTTGGTGACCCTTATGGGTCTCTTCCAACTAAGGATCACAGAATTCTAAGAGTCTATGTACTTGGGTGTTCAGTAAGGCTTTCAGGACAAGACTAGAGTCTTTGCTGGAGTGTCACAGGTCAGCATGTCTTGGGTTGCGTGACAACAACTTTGTTGAACTATTTTTGTGGACTTTAGTTTTATCAGTGTGTGTTTGTTCTTCATTTTAAGAGATTGACTGGAAGCACAGTGAGAATCCTAACCCCCTGCTTCATTCTCCAGCAGCATTTAGCTGCATACTCAGCCCTTACCCCTGAAAAGGTGCTGCCAGAAGTTGCAATCAGGCATGGTGCCCCAAGAAAGCAGTTTCGTGGTTTGTGAACACCACATTTAGAGAAGTCTTTGAGTTCTCTAAGGTGCATCATCATGAAGTGTGTTCACAGACTGCACCAGGAACTTGACATGCTGGGTGGGGCGTGCTTGTGCCCAACCCAAGATCCTTTAAGTGGTACCTGGGATCTATGCCAGCTGCCTGGATGCTCACAGGTGTGGCTGACCAGATTTTTCATAAAACGGATTTGCTTTCTGTTCGACTCCGGAGGATTATACAACAAGTCAAGTTAGAGATGAAAGAAATCTTGTAGGCAGTAGATATGGATTTCAATGGAGCTTATAGAGGTTACATTGTTTTCACAATTGCTGAGCTGAAAGCAAAACAAAAATTTCACAAAATCATAAAACGGCTTGCGATGGAAGGGACCTCAAACATCACCTAAACATAAGAAAGGATAAACTCTTCCTGGCAAACAGGGATGTGTAGAAGGGGAACAACTATTGAATCTGGATGTCACATCGTTCAGTAAATCCAAAAAGCATCAGAACAGTTTGCTTGACTGCTCATCACCATGCCTCAAGTCACAAATATCAAAGACCTCAAAGCAGGAGCAGCTTAGTCTTTACTCAGTGATGCCATCATGGACAGGTATGGGCAAACACTTCCAGCCTGTACATGTGAATTTTCTGGAGGTTACTAATTGGATTTGACATGGAAACAATAGGGAAATGTACATTTAATGATCTACTTTATTCTCCAGATGATGAATCTGAGAGGGTTAGAATTAGGCAAAGTAGGAAAAAGCACCATATCATTGTATTTTGCTGACACTGTCAACATTTGGAGAACATAAATCACAGATTTCCAAGAGGACTCAAGTGAAAATGCATCCTCTAGAGGAGATTGCCAGAAACTGTCAGGCAGATAAACTGTAACTGAACCAGAAATGTGAGGATAAAAAGTAAGTAGCAGTATTTTGAAATTTCTTCAAAGTAGTCAGGTAAAGACTTGGGTCCTGAAGTTCCCCAACTTTTGATGCTATGTAGGTACAGCCATGACTGTACCATTTCTCAGTGTTTGCTTTATGGGCAGACCTTCAGATTAGCAGATCTGATGCAGAGAGTAAATGATGCCACATCATAATATGTGAGTCTACACTAGAGGTGAGAAAATGATCCTTGCTGTCCAAATCCTACTTCACATCTGTTAAGCTACGTTTGTGTCTGTCCACACTCTCTTCCATTTTGATCATTTTATCTGACAGGCAGATGGCAAAGCTGAGGTCAGAGGTAACTATATGTAACAGAAACAGGGTAGGAAAATCATACTTTACTTCATCTCTGCATACGCTGTGTGTACATCTCCATGTACACTCCATTGCAAAATCAGTGCTGTTTCCTTAGACATGGGCTAAGTTGTCGCATAAACTGCTCATCTATTTTTTATACCAAGTTACCACTAAGTAAATTGTCATCAGCAAGCTGTGTTTAGAAATAGTTGGGAATTGTTATCCCCTACTTTGGGTATTCTTTTTATGCCAGACAGCACTGAAAATAAGTACCTTGGTTACTGTTAAGATAGGCCTAGAATATTTACTGGATAGTTTTTTAAAAGTTGCAGTTATCTTAAATAAGATGCAGAAGAACCTACAATGTTCTCAGTGTTTTAAAGTGTCTTCTCTTATATGTGTGTAAAATACCCCAGTAGCTCCAAAAGAGGAGCTTGAATGGATGGCTATGATAGAAACTGTGTGACTACCCCATCGTATGATCAAATCAGCAAGCAGCAAGAGCCTCTGCCTTGAGTGGCACCTTCAGATACATATGCCTTTAAGTTCCCTAACGTCAGATTAATGGCAGTAGGAGTATTTCTCTCTTATTGGGTATGGCTGGGAACTCCCCAGGCATAGGAGGAGCTACCAAGTTAAACTAGAGGTGGGACTGCACCTGCAAGTAGTGGAGACTGAGCATAGAAGGTAAGTACAGGCTTCTATTCTTTAGTGTTTGGGCTATGGAGCAAGAAAGATCTTTTTAATCAGGAAACTAATCCTGCAGTGTGAATCACACTGGGTAAAGCAGATTCTTAAGCACTGAGAGAATAGGACAGAAATATGGAGTTTAGACAAAAATGGTAAATGTGTATGTATGTAGATACATCCACTCACTTTTGTGCTTGAAGCAGCGGTGATTTGTGCTTTTCAACCAAAGTGGTGATGCTGAGACCTTGACTGCACCTGAGTTTCCTGCCAAGCATCAGGCTGTCTTTTCAGCAGGACAAAGATCCTGCAGGTTTGGAATGGTATCTGCCCATCTCCAGTGGCAGCAGGCGCATGGGTGTGCATCCAAATGTATCCAAGACTCAGCTTCTGATGCAGGCCCCATAACACAGGTGTTGATAGGTGTGTGGCGGGGCCCTTTGTAGTCACTGGTGATGTTTGGTGGATCTAAGACTGAGAAGACTACAAAAAAAAAACCCAAGTATTTCTTTCTGTGTCAGAGCTTTAAGGTTATTAAAATCTACTTATGGCTGATGGAGTTATTATTTATTTTAGAAAGCTGCAGCTGATGGCAAGTTTTTATTTTCTACTTGTGATTGCTCTTCACAGATTCAATGGTATACAGGATTTCTTACTCATGTAAAACAGTAAAATGTTGCCTAATGCTTTTCACTCCCTATGTTTTCCTATGCAGTTGTAGAACCCTTGGCTGTGTAATTAATATCCTATTTACTGTACGTTTTGGTGCATTACAATCAGGGTCAATGTGTGTTGGAATGATATGACACAATGTTTCTGATAAGCATGGTAATGAAGAGGCACCAGTTAGCTGTGGATAGACAGATAAACTGTACAGTCATGCCATAAAAACTATTCACTCAGCATTTGTAGAAATGAATGCAACCACTGACTTACAGGCAGGACCATAATTAGCAACAGTTGTTGCTAACTGAGGGTGATATTTTCTCTTTTGTATTCAGATTATGTTGTCAAAATCACACAAACCATCCTTTCTTATTGTAAAAGCACAACTAAATTTTTACCAGAATTGTTCCAATTGCTCTTTAAAATGGAGTTTTGGCAAAGAATTGTCTGAATGTACCTCATGTTAAGCACACTTAGAAAGCAGTGTGATATGAAGAAAATATCACTAGAACGCACTGAACCTTATTTACATGGGAAATGAAGTGTGAGTGCAGTCATGTGATGGCAACAGTGTGAGTATTGCAGCTTTTGTTTCCAGCACTGAGAAAATTGAAATCATCTGTAGGATTTCTATTTGTTTGTTTTTTATCTTGTTTTGTTTTTAGGACATCCTTAAGCTTTTTTTTCTCCCATTCTGTAGTGTATGAAACTAATATGTTTGCGAAGGGGGAATTCTAGTCCCACTTTTTTTAGCAATTAGGGCAACGGAACACAGAAATTAAGGCAAATATATGCTCCAGCTTCAACACAAACAGCCCATACTGCATGAAATAGGTTTATACCAACTTTCTATCTGTGCCACAGCTCCTCTTTGTGCAAAGGTGTGGGCTATGATGGGAGCTGCAGAGATCATGGTGTGCAAGGCCCTGGGCACACCTACTCCCTTGTGCCCTGGGATACATTTTGGGGGCACCTGCAGCCAGGTTGCAGGTATGGCTTTGAGGGAGACCATAAGCACGAAGGAGAAGGAGACAGGCTGAGGCCATCCAAGACAACTGATCTAGTAATTGATTTAGCTGTTGGCAACCCTGCCCCTGACAGGCAGTTTGGAACCAGATGATCTTTGAGGTCTCTTCCAACCCAAGCTATTCTAAGATTCTGTGAGTGCCAAGCACCTCAACCTGCCTCTTGGAACAGAGGGAAGATCAATGATTCATTTACTTAGGAAAGAAGTGGGTGACAGATAAAGCTGCGTGATGCACTGTGACATCTGGCAAAAAAAAAAAAGAAAAAAGCTAGGAACATTTCAGCCTAGCAGTATAACACCTTTTTTTTTCCCTCCTTTCAGTGGTGATCATGGCAGTGATTGTCACTGAGTAACTGCCCTGAGGGTATGGTGGATTTCCAGTGGCTTTACATTAATGTCTTGTAATGCAACGAGGTTCCCCCTCCAGCTCAGTATTCAGATTGCTTGTTTAAACATGCCTGTTTTTGCAGATGACCAAGAAAACCCGTTCCTAGTAGCACTGGAAAGCTTTTACCACTCAGCACATCTTTCCTTTCCTAATATATGACAAGGTAGTAGCCTCGAGCTGAGCCAGGTGAGGTTCAGATTGGAAATTAGGAAACATTTCTTCTCAGAAAGAGTGGTGAGGCAGTGGCACAATCTGCATGGGGAGGTGGTGGAGTCACAGTCCCTAGGGGTGTTCAGGAACTGTGTGGATGTGCCACTGAGGGACATGGTTAGTGAGCATGGTGGGGATGGGTTGACAGGTGGAACAGATGATCTCAGTGGTCTTTTCCAACCTTAATGATTCTATGATTCTATAGCGTGTTTAAAGTCAAATAATGTACACTTGCAGCAAAGGTAGTGAGAATAAAAGGCTTTTCTCTTTTTTCCCCCCAAATAATGGTACTTACACTTGCTTTTTGAGATCTTTGTTTTCAGCTTAAAAATTTTCAAGGCATCGGGAACTCAGAAGCATGTCAGGGAAGCCCAGGCTCACCTATATCAATGGAAGAGGGCGAATGGAGACCATCCGATGGCTGCTAGCTGCAGCTGGAGTGGAGGTTGGTTAACACTCAGCTCTTTAAATGGACACTCTGTGAAACAATTTAATATGCACACAGGGAATAAGGGTGCAAAAGGGTGAATAACTTCATTTTCAAATTAATTTAGGTTTGTGCCTACCCTGTTCAGTGGCTGGTATTTGGGATACAAACTCAATGGAGCTTTGGATTTCACAGAGCTAGCATCAGTTTTCTGAAGTAATTCTAGTGTGTCTAAACAGGGATTTTTTTAAAAGGCCTTTAATGAATCTCAGTTTTCCAGCTGTGCAAAATCACTTTGCTCAGTCTCATTTAGATTGCGGTTGCAAAGTGTATAAGAAAAAAGAATGTTGTTGGCCCACTCTTGGGGTGGTGTTAGAAAGAACTGATTTACCTTGTGCTTCCCTTGGCACTGGCTGCAGCCTGCTCTTCCCTCTAGATGTCTGTGTCTCTCTTCTGCTTGCACTCCAATAATTTCTGAATCAGTGCAACCAGGCAGAAATGGCCAGGTCCTTCTGCTGCTATCCAGCCGTGGGGATGGGTGGAGAGTCCTCAGAGGATTCACAGTCAAACAGCACATCTGAAGCCTCAACTCATTGTGTTTTGCTTGGCTGGATTGTTCTCCTCGAGGTTATGTGCAGTCAATTGGAGAAAAATGCCAGAAACATAAAGAGCTCTTCTCTCTTCTTTTCCAGTTTGAAGAAATTTTTCTGCAAACAAGAGAGCAGTTACTGAAGTTAGGCCAAGGTAAGACTGTGATGCTTGAGGCTTTGGCAATCAGAAAGTTGCTCGTATTTAGCTACATTAAAATTTATTTAAACCAAAGCAAAATTCTGGGTATACATCTTGAATGCTGAAATGCCGGTTTTGTGTAACCTGTTCTTTGCAGTACCAAATAACTCCTATAAGATTGAAATCATAGCTTCTATGACTGTGGTCACAGTAACATATTAAATATGGCTAGCACTGGAAAGTTTAATGTAGGATTTGACATGGCAGTAAGGCCATGTAAAGCAGCTATGCAGGATGAGCCAGAGCCACGAATCTTCCCCCAGGTAAGTCTGACATGGTCCAAGCAGCCAGAAAGCCTTTATGTGAACTGTAGAAGTGAGACCAGATCCCAACAGCAATGCAAACCCCCAGCCACTGGCCACTTGCTCAGCTGAAGCCCGGTTTGAAGTCCTCTGCACCACCCTGGAGGGAGAAAGCCTCGCTGCCCAGGTGGGGAAGAAGCTGGGCCTGTGAGGAGCACTGCTAGGTTTGCCTGTCCTGAACTTTTTCTGCTGCCCAAGACAGGAACACCCCAGCACAGCAAAGAGACACCCTGAAAAGGACTTGGCTGTGTTCAGGCTGCCCACTCAGATGGGGAAAGCTGCATTTAAAGAAAAGATGAAAACAGAACTAAAATGCACAAAACACCAGCAATAAAAAAGTGGCATCAGTGAGATCAGTTGTAGGTCTAGCTGGCTGGTAATCTGATGACATGGGAGGGTTGTGTGCTGTTGAGACAATAAATATAGCCCTAAATACAATAGTTTAGGTAGTATATAGTTAGGTACCCAAATCTGAATTTCCTTCTTAAAAGATATTTAACCCAAACAGAATGGCATGATTCTGCATTTCGAAATGAGGCCTATCCATAGCCAGAGAAGAGAATTAAGTGGCAAGAAAAAGGATAGGGAAGTCTTCTAAAGAAAATGAAGACTTTTCAAGTATATACGTATACTGAGCTTAAGAGGCTCAGAGCACAAAGAAAAAGGCTGGCTTTGACACGATGAATTGAAGAAAGACGAATATTAGTCATTTGGTGGAGTGATGCCAGATGCTCAGAGCAGGACTGAACATGAGTAACCACCACTCCCTCTACCTCCAGTTTTTTTCTCTCTCCTTGCCAATGTGCCTTGTTCCAGGAAGCCCTGAGTTCAGACTTCAGAGCACTGTTATCACCGGCCAGGTGTGGCTCTGGCCTGTGCCAACTGAAGGTCTTCTAGCAATCCTTCAGCGCTTTCTGGGATTCAGCCCAGGCCAGGAACTGTTCCCAGTTCTTCAGTTCCAGCTGTACCTTGCAGCAGACAGCTGCTTTGGAGAGACTCCAGTACATCACCTGGCCAGGCCTGTACCTACTGGCCTGAGACCTGCTGGCTTGGCTCGATCTACGTAGCCACAGGTTGATGTTGAGAAGCATTGCTGTTCTGTGGCAAACAGGCTCAGGTTATAGCTCTTTAATGTATGCCCAGAGACGATCATCAGACACACAGTGCAGACAGCAAAATGAGTGGCAAACCGCTTTAAATCCTGCATGTATGTTATGTGCAGTGGTTATGTGAAGTGGTCCCATTGCAAAACCAGGAGAAGCAGCCTACTAATGGTCATAAGATAAAAATTCTTCTGTGTAGAGAAGAAACAAACCAGGCATTCAGTGTTCTCACATTTCCTACACTTTATTTCTTGTCAAGGGGCAGAAAGTCAGATTTATTCTTTATTCTCCACTTAGCGCAACTCCTTGCTGAGACGTATGCTTGTATAGCTGCTATTTTTTCCATCCTGTGTTTTTTCTGCTAGACAGGGGTCTTCTTATAGGTGATGTTCTTTCCCAATCTGCAGAGGTGTGTTCTGATAAGACATGATGACGCAGGATCATTCTGTTACTGTCTATGAGAAATAAATGGACTATTCCTTGCCACAAAGAGAGTTGCTTTTTGAATTTAAGCTGTAAATCAGTGATGTAGTGAAGATTTTTTATTAGTTCTTGGTTAGCAGAGTATTTTAGTAGCTCTGTAAAGAAGAGAGTAGGTAAAGGTGCTGTGAATTCTTGTACTTGGAAGAAATGCACTATTAATAATGACCAAGCAATTAAAATAAACGCTTAACTTTGAGCAATGCAAAGTGGCAGCTGCCTACTTGGATTTAGAGCTTCAGTGTAATTTTAACAGGTCAGGATTGTTTTTTGGATGCCCATAAACATTTAAATGGAGCAGGGAGTATCTCCAAAGCTGGCGAATGAGTTCAGCAGAAAACTGCACTAGAAAAAAATGGCTTTGCTGTGCCAAACACAAAGTCTCAGCACAACCTTGTTAAAGGATCAGCCACGCTGCTTCCAGCACTGGGAGAAAACAGGGCTTGTCAGCACAGGGGCAAGAGGGGATAGTAGTAGCACGGCTGGATGGGTTTGAGTTGTTGTGAAATGACACTGGGGACAGACAGGCCTGTAATGGAAATCTACAGGGATGCTCAAAGTCCTGTTTCTGGGGCAACTATGCAAAACTTAGTGAAGCAGCAAGCTGCTGTCACACTCCCCGTCCCTGGCTTCACTGCCTCACAATGAATCTGGCACTGCTGCTCCCAGTGCCCTGACCTTTCCCTTTGTCCCAGTAGCTCAGTCTTACTGTGGTACTACCTCTTTTTTTATTTCCATCCTTGTCTATGTGCCTGCCAGGGAACTGATCTGCATTCAAAATAATTGGGCTTTTTGTTCTGATTTAACACAGCTCTTCATTCTCCTCAGGTCCCTGGGGCTGGAACTGCTGGGTAAGCCTTCTCCTGCCAGCAGGGCCATGGGCCAGGAGTGCAAGGGAACGGTGCCAGTTCCCGTCAGGCAGTGCAGCCCTGGCAAAGCTGCAAAGCATGGGGCCCAGCTGCACCTCTCTGACCAAGCTGCAAACCTGATGCCTACCAGACAGCATTTAATCTTTCCCACAATGTTAATTAACCACATGGAGTTTGAGTTAGGGCAAGGCGTCCATGATCTACACTGCAAAAGTAATGCACTCTCCTGTAAAGCTAGAATTCCAGAAGGAACTAACAAGCTCTCATTCGACTTTGTGTCCTAGATGGATCCCTGATGTTCTATCAATTGCCACTGGTTGAGATCGACGGGATGAAGTTGGTGCAGTGCAGAGCCATCCTCAGCTACATAGCAGGGAAATACAATCTCTATGGGAAGGACTTGAAGGAGAGAGCCCTGTATGGTAGCACTTCCTCTTGCTTAATGAGCAATCTGTTATTTGATAGCTGCATTACACTGAACAAATGCAACCCTGTAAATCCAATAAAAAGGTGTAAGAAAGGCTAAGCAACAAAGCAGACTGCAGCCTTTGTTCAGGGTTTAATCACTGCTTATGAAATGCTGTTGAATAGAAACAGGCTTTTAGTCCTTTTAAAACTTACTTAGCTTTATTTTGTATTTAGTTTTGACTATGAAATTTGGCACTGTGATCGTGATATACAAGTCCTATAAGTTGCCTTAGTTAATTGTAATACAGATGAAATAACTCCCATGCTGTTGTCTATTGTCTCCCCTCAAACAGGATTGACATGTATGTGGAAGGAATATCAGATCTGATGCACTTGATTTTGATGTTTCCTTTCTCTCCACCTGAGGCAAAGGAGAAAAATATTGCTACAATTGCAGAGAAGGCAACAGAGAGGTACTTCCCTGTCTTTGAAAAGGTATGTGACAGAGAGGATGCCTAGAAAACTTGCATTTACAGTTATCAGAAACTTTCCCAAAAGTAACATACTTGTAACATACTTGTGGTATAGTTAGATCCAGATCCTCAGTTTTCTTGGCTCTCACAAAGAAGGGAAAATGATACAGCACATCTTCTGTTTGTTAGATTATGTTGTTCGGGTTGTAATACTGTTACAGCCACCAAGCAAACAAAGTGAAATGTTTTCAGTTCATACAGCATATCTTTTTGCAGATGTAAAAACAAGCACGTATGTTGTTGTTTTTGGTTTTTTTTTTTTTCCATGAGAGAAAATTCCACACTTGTATTTGTTCAGAGCACATCTCTCTGCTATCCTTCCGTTGAAGAATGCAAAAAATCCCTTGCAAATAAATCAGATAGAGAGACAAAAACACTGAGGTATTAGGACTGCTTTAGTAAAACAGCCTCAGATTTCTGCATGCCTCACTTGCAAAACAACAAACCAAACTGACGAGTCCTGGCAACACTGTTCACTTTTGTAACATTCATTTAGTTTTGATGGAAAAAAATAATAAAGGCTGAACATCCTAGAAGTTCCTATTACTATAACAACTTACTCCCAGAAGCAGGGATTTTCTTTGGTTACCTATTGTAATTTTGCATACTAAGATTGCTTCCTGTATGTTGAACAGAACCATAAATTAAATATCTAAATGGCAATCTTATGAATTCTCTCCAATTCCTTCTTATCTCTATTTATAACCTTATGACTGCTAATAGCTTATTTCAGCATGTGGCTTTGTTTTCCCAGTACCGATCGTCACCCAACATTACCAAATGACCAGAGTTTGTAATATGGGTTCCATACAACATTCCAAGAACAGTGAAGTGATTTGGGCTCACAGATCTCCAGCTAAAAAGTGAAGCTTTGCTTATAATCACTTATGGTCACTGATTAGCTCTACAGCTGTGCCATAAGGCTTAGCTGCCAGGTATCATCTGCAACCCGTGCTCTCTTGTACTCCACAGGTTTTGAAACAGCATGGCCAAGACTTTCTTGTGGGAAACAAATTCAGCTGGGCAGACGTTCAGCTCATGGAAGCCATTTTAGCAGTGGAGGAGAAAGTACCTTCTGTGCTTTCTGGGTTTCCTCAGCTGCAGGTAATGATGTTATTGAACATGTTTGTGTTCAGGAACCACACGGTACAAAGATTTCATGAAGGGACAGTCCTGCAGTGATTGTCTCTCCATTCTGTGTAAATCTGTTCTGTGTAAACTACCCGTGTTTGTGTTTGTTTAACATAAAGCGCAGCAGTGAATAGATTTTGTAAGGCACCGTGCCCCTGTTTAACCCCATTAAGGCATATCTCTCCCTCTTCAAGTAGCTTATGCTATCTCAGTAGAAATCAATGTCATGCTAAGGAAACCACTGATCTAAGCTGCCCTGTTTTCATTTTCCTGTCTCCTGCTTGTGAATACTATCTAATAGTAATAACAAACTACGTCTGTGACATAGACTGACATGTTAGAATATGATAGAGCATGCCATTTTCTTTACTGTCTAGTATTGTAAGTTTGGGATTCTATTAACTTTACTACTTTACTTTCTAGCATGGCTAGAAATTGAAGCCCTGACCAAAACAAACAAACAAACAACCACAGTTTGCCTTCAGTAATCAACTTGATATCATCAAGGATGAAATTTCTGCTTTTGTACCATGTGCAAAATCTGCAACCAAGCAGAAGTAAGGCAATCAGAAATCAGAAAATTCCAGATCTGCAGCATGCTGTAAGAGCCCAGTGCTCGAGCAAACCTGCAGGAGTCAGAGTTTTGATACAGTGGATCCAAATAGTCTGAGACTAAAAAAAGCAAATACTGTTTAGTAGTTCAACCTTGTGCCTGTAATCTTGGTAAACAGAGCAGTGTAAGCAATGCAAATTTAGACTGATAAGGCCATGCTTGATATCATTGCTTTGTTCTTAAAAACAGTTAACCTAAAGCATGCACTCAAAGACTTGGGCTTTGATCCCATGAACAAAATAAACAGTCCAGCATCAGACTATCCTAACTGGAATTTCTGCTTGGTCCTTGAGGAAAAGGGGTGGGGAGGAGATGTGATATTCTCCCCTTCCCCCTAAATCCCAACCCCAGCAGTTTGAATTTTGAATGACAGAATGAGCTGCTTTAGCAACAAGGTTGGCGGAGTTTTGTGACAGACTGCAACCTGTGCACCATTTTTCAGCCTCAGGAAATTCTGGCCTCTAGCTCCCATCTTTTGGGAAAATATCTTGTCCACCAGGTATGGGCACTGTTCGTCTGATATGACTTGAATCGTAAGGATGCTTTCATTGCCAGAAGAGAAACTACTTCTAATACTGGTGGTTTTTTACTATACAGTTTTTACTTTTCTTGCTCCTTCCTGTATTCCCCCTTATCCTTCCAGTGCTTGTAAGGAAGAAAAAATGTTCATACATGTGCCAGCAAGAAATGGCTATTGTTCTGTGAAGCTCCTCTCCCTTAATCCCATTGTCAGAAGAGGTTCTCATATACATAATATTGCTGAGCTAACTGTGGGATATCCAGATGCTCAAAACCTGCTCCAGTGGGTCTTCTCAGACTGACCGTGAGAGAAGGCATCTCTTGTCATCTGAGATGCCCAAGTCGTCCTCATCTTGGCCTCCAGACAAAACTGTAGAAGGGAACTGGCCTGAGGCCCATGCTATATTTGCCAGCTCCATGTAAATAATTTGGCTGTGTTGGGTGAGACACGTAGCACAAGAAGCCTGAGCAGGACAACTGAGTTGAGCAAAAAAATGGCTTCCAGCCATTTCACTTTCACCCATACAATCTTAGAAGTGCTTTGTGGTAAAAATAGAAATCATATTGCTAATTTGGTTTTCCTAGGTGGTAAGTTTGCACCATCATAAGAAGCAATGGGGAAAAAAAGCTTGGTTAGTTTGCATGGACCTTCCAAACTAATCCCTGATGCTTCTAGATACTGCAGTTTTGCCTCCAGTTTCTTGCAGGCAGTGGAGATCTAGGTGTTGCTTGCTCCAACACTGCTTTTGCTGATAAGAATAAGCATTTGGCAGCAGCTGGGTCCTTCTCGTGTTAGGCAGGAGGAGCCTGTGTAGATCTCCTCAGCGCCTGAATGAATCTATTCTACCAGCAGGGGGAAGAAGCTGTCCAGTATCCTACGTATGGAAAGTTGCTGCTCGCTTCGTCGGGACTTATTCCTCTTGCTTTTATTTTTCAGGCTTTTAAAACCAAAATGAGCAACATGCCTACAATTAAGAAGTTCCTGCAGCCTGGCAGCCCAAGGAAGCCCCCACCAGATGAAAATTATGTAGCAACTGTGATGAAAATTTTTAAGCTAGATTGAGAGCAATGTTAACTTTACTAAGTCCCAAAGTGCTGGGAAGAAAGGCATCAAAACCCAAACCCTTGAAGGAAGTAGGAAACTCAGTAAAGTTTTTTTTTGGTACTTAAAAGCAATGGTAGAAATAAATAGAAGAGTGAAATAAAGCATTCTGTTTACTCTGGCAATGTGACAGCAGATTTGCCTTTTTAGGTGTCTAATGCTTTGCAGCACATGCAAACAAAGCAGAATGGAAGCAAAGAACTCTGCCAGAGTAGGGAACTTACTCCTTTGTAAGGAGAGTGATGAAGTGCTAGTATGGAAGAATGATCCAAGGGGTGGAACCCCTATGCTGTGAGGACAGGCTGGGAGAGCTGGAGCTGTTCATCCTGGAGGAAGGAAGGCTCCAGGGAGACCTGAGAGCACTGGAACAGGTTGCCCAGAGAGGTGGTGGACATCCTGTCCTTGGAAACGTTCAGGGTGGGTCTGGATGTGGCTCTGAACAATCTGATCTAGCTGTAGATGTCTCTCTTCATTGCAGGAGAGTTGGACCAAACGATCTTTAAAGGTCCCTCCCAACCCAAAACATTCTGTCTCTATGACTCTGTGAAAATAGGTTTCAAAATAATGACTACAGAAGAGAACAAAGAGGAAAAAAAAAAAAGAAATTGGAAAAAAATTTGAAAGGTGCATCTGGTAAAGAGAAAAGAGAATAATGAACCTTCTTTGCAGCTTGCTTGTTCTACAGCATACTCACCATGGTCTCCCAGGCAGCAGAACATGCATGCTCCCTTCAGAGCTGCACCACTGTAGACAGCTGAGATCACTGCTCCTTCAACAGAGATGGACAAGCCAAAATTTTGGTCTCCTGCAAACACAGTGAGAAGAAACTGTAACAGAGTTACAGCTAGAAGACATTGTTTAATTAAGCATATCCATTTCTCTGCTTCTGGAGTAATAAAAAAATGTCTGTTTTTACTAACATTTTCCCTACATCTTTGCATTAGCTGTAAAACAAAAGGACAAAAAATTACTTCTGTTAGGGTGCAGTAAGATGAAATGGGGTCTTTAACTGAATGTAGAATCACAGAATCACCAAGGTTTGAAAAGACTTCCAAAAAGTCCAGCTGTGCACCTATCACTAATATTTTCCCACTAAACCACGTCCCTTAGTACAACATCTAAATGTTTCTTGAACACCTCCAGGGATGGTGACTCCATCACCTCCCTGAGCAGCCTGATCCAGTGCCTGACTACTTTTTCAGAGAAGAAATCTTTCCTAGTGCCCAACTTGAGTTTCTCCTTGTGCAACTAGAGGCCATTCCCTCTAGTCCTATCACTAATTATGCAGAAGAGGCTGATCCCCACCTTGCCACAACCTCGCTTTGGGTAGTTGTAGAGGTCTATAAGGTCTCCCCTGAGCTTCCTCTTCTCCAGGCTGAACAATCCTGGTTCCCCCAGCCACTTCTCGTAACATTTGTGCTCCAGAGCCCTCACAACATCTCTGTCCTTCTCTGGACACGCTCCAGAGCATCAATGCCCTTCTTGTGGTGAGGGGCTCGAAACCAAACACAGCACTCAAGCTGCAGCCTTAACAGTGTTGAGTACAGGCAAATGATCACCTCTTTGCACCTGCTGGCAGAACTATTTCTGATACAAGCCAGGATGCCATTGGCCTTTGTGGCCACCTGGGCACACTGCTGGCTCATGTTCAGATGGCTGTTGACTAATACCCCTAGATCCTTCTCCTCCTTGCGGCTTTCCAGCCTGTAGCATGCTGGGGTTGCTGTGGCCAAAGTGCAGGACATGGTACATGGTATTGTTGAACTTCATCCCACTGGCCTCAGCCCAGCAATCCAGCCTGTATGGATCAAATATGCCCTGCATGTTGTCAAAGGCAAGTTATCTTTTACTGCTACTTTTGATACCATCATGTATTTTTTTGGTTATGAACTGCAAACACTGAAACTCGTCTTTTTGCAGTACTTCTCCATCTGAAGCCAAGTCTATGCCTAAGTACATCTGTAAAACAGTGAGTGCTAGCAAATTCTTTATTCACGTGCATCTTTATACTCCAGGCATAAATAGAACTGAAGTAGAAAATACCCTTGCATGAGTTATTCCTGTGTGTGAGGTGGAGAGATCCTGTAAATATTATTACAGTTGTAAAATTTTAAAAATACAAAACATGTCCCTCAATGTTATCAAGACTGTAGGCAAGCTAAACAAGACAGCTGATTTTCTGAAAATAGATGTGCTGGAAATACTCTAGCACATCCTATTTGCAATTCAACTGTGTAGAGATACACAGTGTTAATGACAAGTGCATCTCCTGAAGAACGAAACTGTATGGGACAGGAGATGCATAGGCACAGAGAGCACCAGCACTTTAACAAGCCATACTGATGGTCCAAGCTCCATGCAGTATGCATGACTTAATGCAGACTTACTGTACTTGGTGCAAAAGTCTTTGTTTTTCCATGCCCACCTTGAGTTTCAAAGCAGAAGTTTGTATTGCCCATCAGTTCTCCACTTTTCATCCCTTTCACCTCCTGACTGTTGAGAGTAAAACTAACAATCATGTGGCTGACATCTCTCCCTCTAGGGTAGTGAGTATATAACAGAATGGGAGCAAACTAGAGGGAATGTGAAGAAAAGCTCTAAGCAGGGGATGTGCTTCTGAGGAGAGAGTGATGTGAATGTGCAGAGAGAGTTCTAAAAGCAACAGTGAGCAGGTAACTCCCTGGAGCTATGTTACTGATAACTGC